GTGAAGGTTTAATAACACTTTAGGGTGCACACATTTTAACATAGTGTTGTATGCTCTGGAATGTGGACATGTGCTTAGTGTCATGTGCTAGGGAATGCGAATGAATACACACACCAGTGTCATAGATATGCTCCTACATTGGCCTTGTGCCGGATGTTTTTCAGCTGTGCTCACCTGATCTCATCTCACTATCCTTCACATATAATGTTGTCAAGGATAGCTACATTTTTACTGCACAACACAATGTAGCATAGAAAAATAAAATACATGTTCTGTATCTGCATCACCCCCTTATACCTAATAATCTATAGATTTCTATCCTCTGTATCACTGGCATGTAAACTAAAAGATTCTAAGCTCTAATACCTTGCAAATCATTGGCATATACCCCTAAGAATGTGATCTCTAAAACCTTCTGTACATTGGCATATACCCCTATAGAAAGTGAGCTCTACCACCTTCTATATCATTGGCATATAGCCCTATAGAATGTAAATTCCAACACCTTCTGTATTATTGGCATACACCCCTATAGTATGTGAGCTCCTATACCTTCTGTATTATTGGCATACACCCCTATAGTATGTGAGCTCCTATACCTTCTGTATTATTGGCATACACCCCTATAGTATGTGAGCTCCTATACCTTCTGTATTATTGGCATACACCCCTATAGTATGTGAGCACCTATACCTTCTGTATTATTGGCACACACCCCTATAGACTGTGAGCTCCAAAATCTTCTGTGTCTTTGGCATACACCCCTATAGACTGTGAGCTCCAACACCTTTTGTATCATTCACATATACCCCTATGATTGTGAGCTCTAACACCTTCTGTACCATTGGCATATAAACTGTTTTAGAATGTGAGCTCTAACCCATTCCCTGCTCCCCCTACTCCCCACTGCTCCCTTCCCCAAGCTAGTAGATGTGCAGCTGCTCAAGACTGCTCTGTTCCTTGTGATCTTGTACTGGACAGGATGTTCGGGGAAGTGGAGCTGAGAAAGTAGGAGCCAGCTGATTGGAAACATGATGACTGTAAGTGACTGGGCAAACATTTAAAGAAATACTTTGCTAGGCAATTTATAATTTGATGATCTGAATTTATTATTGAAAAAAAGATCAAGAGTTTAATACTACTTTAAGCTCTCTTTTGCATTCCTATTAACTTGTGCCAGTAAAGCAGATCTGACACAAATACCCACGTACTCAAGCCCTCAGTTATTCATAAACCTAGAAAACCTATTTTGTAAACATGGGTTTTAATATGTTTAAAGCCAGTTAAATATTCCACTCAGATTAGTGCTTTCGGATCAGAGAACTCACAACTAGAATGTGAACTTTGCCTTGGATCGGCCAGCCACATGCTAAAATGTCATTGATATTTGCAAACAAATATTTCTGGTCAATTGTATATATGGACTAAAGCATGATCTCTATTTTCATTTTCTGCAGAACAGATACATAGTTAGTAAAAATCCTCTCTTTCTCTCCCCGTTATCACTTGTGGGCAGGTAAAGGTTGATAAGGGGAAAGAAAGTATTTCCTGCTAAGATTAGCAGAGAAAAGCCACTGTTTACATCATGAAGATTTCCTCTTTTTTTTTTTTTTTACCAGTCACACAACTCTGCTAAAGACTTTAAGGCACTTTTACAGTGTTCAGGGTACAATGGTAAGAGAGAACCTTGACAAATCATGCACAATGCATCCAAAAGTTGATTACCTAGCATCAAATCAATGGGAAACTCACCCTGAACAGTGGATGGGTATATAGTTTGAAAAGGATCTTCAGCTGGGTTGCTCGGCTACATTTTCATGTAAAATCTCCTGGTACTGTACTATAGCAGATGACTTGTACAAAACAGTTTGTGCCAGCACCCAAGACCAGACAATGCTAGCTGTTTCCTGTCTATCTGATGCAGTCATTAAACCAAATAATTGTGCAGCTAAAATAGCAAAACAAACAATATTAGACCCTGGTTATATACTTTCTTCATGTTTGAGCTTCCATTTATTTGGGCTTCAGTGCTCAGTGGTGAAAAATGAAATGCCGATATGAAAGCACCTTTCCCAATGTGTTTCCTATTTAAAATGCGCTGTCAGATTTATTAATAAGTTAGAAATGCAATGTCTAGTGTAAAGATATAACATTTATTCTCTAATAATAGCATACATTACAGTATGTAGCAAATAAATTCACCGGCAATCAGATTCACAATTTCACATTTTTATTAATTTCAGATTTCAGCTGAAAAATTCAATCATTGTTAACAATGGCACATGAAAGAAATATAAACATGTATAGGTAGCAGACAGTAAGGCTCTTGTTTAAAGTTAATTAGTGTAGTAAATCCTAACATGTTAGTATGGATCCACCATGGGTTGCAGAAGACAAAAATGATTGGATAGCACTATTACTAGACATCAACTGGCAATTTAGAAATCATTCTTCTCACCTCATGTCACCAACTACATGTGCATGTACTGTTATGCCGCCCCATAAAAAGGAATTGATTTACCTTTACAGGTAGTATTGTAACTGAAATAGGGTTCTAACCAATCCCCACTGTTCAGAACTAAAAGCAAACATTTTGGCTGCACTTAGATTTTAACAGCTACAACATATGCGTAACAAAAGCAACCAAAATGATATAGAGGGTTTCAGTTTTTTTGTATCATTGTTAAACGGCCCATACACTGCTCTATTTTTTTCTTTCAATCCGCAGGCTGAGCAAAAAAAAAAAATAGGAGCAGGTTCCTCCATCAACACTACCAGCGCGTTGATTGAGGAATCCCCACTGTTTCTTTTGTACATAATACCCGAACAAAGCCAGCAGCTCATTGGCTGGCGGCTCTGTTCGCACAAAGATTTTCCGACCGGATCCTTCAATCTGCTGATCCAGGGATGCCGGCTGAAAGGGTGCTGATAGCGACACCCCCTGTGCGAATTACGGCCGGTTCCTCAGGAACCTGACCAAAATTGCACAGTGCATGGCCACCTTCTTTCGACCAGCCCGCGCGTCTACCGCAATGTCCCGTGCTGGGAACGCAAGGGATTGCATACATAAAGTCTCCTTGCGTTCTAGGGTGGGAGGGGCTGTGGCAGTGCCATTTATGTCAATGGCACTGCAGACACTTACCCCGCCCACAGTACGATTGGCCGGTCAGGAATGCATGGTAATAAAATGCCCTGCTTTCCCGTGTGGTGCCATTGCAAAAAATTGAGCATACACTTTTTTGTGTGATCGCACCGCACTGGAATGCAGAGCATTTTTTTGCCACGTGTTCCTGTGCGGCCGATCGTACTATGGGCGGGGTGTGTGTCTGCAGTGCCATTGACTTGAATGGCACTGCCATGCCCCCTCCTGACCCAGAACGCAAGGATACTTTATGTATGCGATCCCTTGCGTTCCGGGCACGGGACAGTGCGGTAGATGCGTGGGCTGGTGGCAACAAGCCCTTAGTCATGTTATACATATAGTACATTCTACTTAAACATTCAGTTTGTCTATTCATATTATGATTAGAGAGAACGGAGGCTGCAGACATAGTTGCAAAAGTATCAAAGGTACTACAATGCTTTATTTACAATAATCTTGTGACCTAAATGAGTGGATAGCAACTACTCACATGCTCCTTACGTTACACCTGAACTCTTTGTTGGCCTTGTGCGTGTATATATACATAGTATATTGCAACAATCGATGCCAACATCATATCATCAGTCCTGCTCTCTAAATCTTCAAGGAAAGTCCACTGCTGGAGAAGAAGGGGAGCCAACCAGTCACGTGACCAGCCAGCAGACAATTGGAAAAAGTAAGTACATTAGAAAAAGGCATTTCAAAACACAATTGGGGAAGCCTCAATGGGGAATACAGTGGTGAGGTCAGGCAATTGACAGGGCACAACTCTCAGACTTTCAGTGACATGGGACCCCTTACTCTTCCACTGAATTGGCAGACTGAAAATAAGTAAAGCTAAATAAAGAGAGAAAATACATTTTTCATAAGTAATCCTGAACAATTGACTTAATTTTGGATATTGAGAATTATGCACAAGTTAAAGTGGAACTAAAACTCTGTAGGAGACAAGCCTTCCATAATATGTTCTATGCACAATTGCTCATTAGTTCTGCTTTAAACCACATTTGGTTCTCTTTAAACTAGTCCCACATTTCATTGTACATTCTTGGCACAAGTCTGTGCTTTATGCATGCGAGTTCATTCATCCCCTGCTGTCCAATCAAGACAGCTGAAGACCAAGCGCAGGGAAGAAGCTAGGGAGAAGATGCTGGCACCAACAAGGGAGCAAGGGGAGGTGAGTTAAGTTCCACTTTAAATCAAGAGGTTAAGGGTAATTTGTTCAGAGCCCTCCAAGAGATAAAGACACTATGAATACTCAGACAAACCAACATTGGAAAACCAGCCTATAATCTCAGTGGATGGACATAATAATACTTGATACTTTTGAGTTACAATGTGATCTTCTATCCTGGCTTGACCATTTCCAACAAACTTCCAGTTTTGTATAAAGTAAAATTGGGTGGAATTCCTAGGTATTACCCAGCCGGGCATATTAGAACTAGAACATTGGTTGAAACCATCTCCTCATGTAAGTCCACCATTAGAGATTGAAGGGGACAGACTAAAAGAAAAATGGGTCCTCAACATTTTTACTGTCATAAATATTATCACAGATGACCAAAATACATTAGATTGCCTGGCAGTCTTGTAATACTTGTAGGCCTGTAAATACTGGTAGTTTTAGACATCATTTAACAACCTCAAATATACAGCACCGTGAACGAAATACTTGTATTGACACTGCCTTAAATATAACACTATATACAGCTTATTGTACCTTGGATGTAACAGCTTGTCAACAATTGTCTTGTTAAGCAGAAGGACGTCAGCATTATACTTTTAATCAATGATATTCCAAACAAATTCCAGTGAGTGGGGTCATACTCCATGCTGTGTAACAGTAATCTAATCGAGGTCAGATTGGGTTCACTCTGTAGTAATCTTCTAGTGAGAGGTTGTGCACTCCTCCATAGCAGTCTGAAACATAGATATGTTCCGCTATCAGCTTCATTAACAAGCAGTTGTAATCCTGAGACCACTTCTGCATATCAGGATGCCTGGAAAAAAAGCAAAAGGAAACTGAGCATGGCTTCAGCCAGGGTGAATATTAAAGTGTATGTAAACCCTAACAATGATCTTTTCTTATTTGCTTCCTTCTGGTCTGCTGAATATACAATTAGAAGCATTTTGTTATATCTGTTTGATAAATTTAAAAAATACCAGTTGGTCTTATCAGAAATTCAGAACTGTCCTGTCTCCTCTGTACACTTCCTGTGTTATCCCTACCAGTCCTCCTCATTCTTATCTTGGACTACAGAATACTTAGCCTTTAAGTTGTAGATCTCTAAGATTGGGATTGGTTGATTAGTTTAGCAAAAGACAACTGGGTAGGGCTGGCATCACTTGAACTTCAGCTTGGATTCCTGCTTAATCAAAAATTGGTGAATCAGTAAAAATGTGTGCTGTGACCTGACAGCGCCACCCGTGTTGACAAACTTAGACTAAAAGAACTAAGGAGCCGGGTGGAAAATTGTCAGCAAAACAGTGACCGCATCTGATCATATACAGTCACTCTGTGGGTATTCAGACGTAGTGGCTACTTCAATTGTCCAATTAAGTGTACAAAGATAGAAATGTAAGCAAAATGTTGCTTAATTTTTATTTGTGAAACACAGCTCCAGTTTATTTACTAAACTCAATGACTATTCACTTTGCTAACCGATCAGGGTCTACTCTTTTAGTAAATCAAATCTATAGACTTGCATAGAGTGAAGGAGAACTTAAATGAGAACTATGGGGTAAGTGTTTTTCCCCAAAGTTCTCTTAAGGGTCACGGGAGGACATAAACTAGCGTCCTCCCGTGACCCAAAGCTCAGTATATCGCGAGGTACAGCTCGCAGTATACTGAGACCGCTGCAGCCGGGACGGATCCCGACATCACTGTCGAGACCCACCCAGCTGCGTGAGTGACAGCTGGCTCTGCCTATCTAGAGGCAGAGCCAGCTGTACCCGCCCCAAAAAAAGGGATTCATGCTGGGAGCCTGACTGACAGTCACGGCTCTCTGCAGGGAGATGATCGAGAAGTGAGCGGGCGACGGTATGTGAGCCGACGTGTGAGTTTAATTGTCACACATCGGCTCGAACTATGAGGATGAGTGATTTTCACTCACCTTATAGTTCTCCTTTAAACACAACTGCTCCTAACACAACTAGCACTGCAATGCAGGAAGCAGATTCTGAGCATGTAATGAGCAAAAATGCTGCACCCATGTACTGTACATATATCATTTCAAGTAATACATTTTAAAACTTTACAACACATTAATAAGATTAAATACATCATGCCTTTTGTATCTGTTTATTAAATTAGAGACTTTGTAAGACTGAAAATGTTGGGTTTCAAATGCAGAAACATCCATTCTGATTGATAGTGTCGCCACTGTAGATATGATCAGTGAAAATCTTTAGCTGCTGTATTAACCGGTTTTGAAATTTTCTGAGAAATCTTCAGTGAGGAGCACTGACATGTGCAGGGCTGCGTATTATTGCCCTGAAGATAGTTTCAGCATATTTTGTGACTGGGAAGTACACAGCAGATGCACTCATTTCACAATTCAGAAGCAGAAAATAAAAATGACTGGGACTTTAGAGGAGATATATATTGGAACCTTGGAAATTCTGCCATAAATATTTCTGAGAAAGTTTCTAATGACTAAAAGCTGAAACTTAGGGTGCCCATACAACCCCGCGGGCTGAACAAAAAAAATAGAGCAAATTCCTCCATCAACACTACCAGTGTGTCGATCAAGGAATCCAGCTGTTTGCATTGTATTCCGACAGCACCCGCTGGCTGGTGTCAGAATACCAGAGCCGGCAGCTCATTGGCTGCCGGCTCTGGTTATACAAAGATTTTTCCAGCCGGCTCCTTCGATCAGCTGATCGAGGGATGTTGGCTGAAATGGTGCCGACAGCGGCACACACATTGTGCAAATTCTGGCCGGTTCCTCAAGAACAGGGTATAGCCACCCTTAGTCCCATGAGAAATGCTGTCTCGATTCTCCACAGTGCCAGATACCATGAAATTTATACTGGGGATATTTTATAATAGACTTATTTTTATGACAGCCCCGGATTAATTTGTTATATCTGTATATGATTTAATGCCAAATCTGGTATTAAGCACTTGTTCATTTGTGTCTAGGGGCAAAATAACAAATTACACTCACCTGATCCTCAGAGCTGGCTTGTTGTTAGACCTGTCCCTAAAGCCTCTCTCCTACGCTACAGCGGCCCCAGGTCCCGGAGTCATCACGTCCTATAGACTATGTATTGGACATGAGGACTCCGAGGGTCATACCATTGCTGCAGAGAAGGAGGGAGAGCTGTAACAGCCGGCCAGATGCAAGGTTCAGGTGAGTATAACTGTGTTATTTTTGCAGCTAGACCAAAACGAGTTGTTAACCGTTGCAGTGCGGGGGTAGCCCAACTGCAACAGTTAACGGAAAATGTGCCCGGGGTTCTTCTTTTAGGGTCCATACTAGGGATGTCCCGATACCGATGCTAGCATCGGAATCGGGCCCGATACAAGGCATTTTGACAAGTACTTGTACTTGTCAAAATCTGGTAGTACAGTTACCATCTGGCCTATCAGGGTCAATGCAGCACACTGAGGCTCCTGTGGCTGTGCAAGCGCCTTTCTGTAGGTACAGAAAACAGAAGTGTTCATCTTATCAGCTCATGGCACATTTGTATAAAAAAAAACACCAGTTTGTATTATGTAATGCAGATATTAGCATATTGCAGTGCTTTAAAATAATGCATAATGACATTGCAAGGGAAGTGATTCAGAAACATTTCTGTGCTTAAAGGGAAAGTACATATTATTTTAAATGATTATTTCAGTATTTAGCTTAAAGTATTTTTTATGATTTCCATATTTTACATGTTGCTCTTCTAGATTTTTCTATTTTACTAATTGTTCAGATTTGAGGATAAGCCACAAAATAAATCTCTCCATGGTTTCCTTAATAAAGAAAACCTGTCATTTGAAAATATTATCTGCCTGGAGGTCATGTTGACCCTCTTGAAAAACACGAATTTCCATCATTGAAGCCGATGTGTGACAATGAAGCTGTTACAGGTCGGCTCTATTGATCGGGAAGAAAGCGAACACATATCGCCGATCACTGACTTCTCGATCTATCCCTGCAGTCACCACTCCCCACACAGATTCCCCCCTCCCCTCTCCATTCTTCCAGCGCTGACTGGAGAAACAGATGGGGGAGGGGGCGGGCACAGCTGGCTCTGCCTCTAGAGAGGCTGAGCCAGCTGTCAATCAGCCAGCGGGGTGGATCTCAACAGCATTGCCAGGACCCATCCTGGCTGCGGCACTCTCAGCATACAGCAGGCAATAGCCCGCTATATACTGAGTTTTGTGTCACCGGAGGACACAGTATATGCCCTCCCGTGACCCTGAGAACTATGAACAAAAAAGGTTGCCCATAGTTCCCCTTTAACAATGACAGCTCTAATAGTTTTCTTACTACAGGTTTAATACTCTGTAGAGTTACTCGGTCTTTCTCCTAATAAAACTGGCCACACACCAGCAGTAGTTTATTGAAAAAAGTTAGTTTTCTAATGGTTAGTAGGGTCTAATTGATGTCCATTTTCTTCCATAGAGACAAGGAGAATCTAATAAGCAGAATGGAAAATGTTGCTTGTTTCAAAATTCTAACTAAATGTGATTCTCGTTTGGGAAAAACTGTACATATTGTAATGTACATGTGCTAGACACAAAAGAGATCTGTTAAGTATGTCTGGAATTCCATTCAGGTAGCAGGTCTGGATGAAAACTTTGAGGGAATGTGTAAAGGCACAATGGCGGCCACGAATGCACAAAAGCCCAATCTCGGGAAGTACACCATAGTGCGCATGCGCGAGGTGCAAGGGAAGACACACAGGAAGACACGCGGACGGATGGCGCACAGGAAGTGAGGTAGTTGCCTTAATTAAGTGACTATATAAGGATGTGCCTGTCTACTTCACATTGCTAATGGTCTTGTGAGCTTGTGTTGCCTGCTGTCTGTGTTTCTGTCGATTTGCCTATGACCCGTTTTACTTGGATTGACCTGGACTACAATTCTGATTGCTGCCTGCCCCTGACCTCGGCCTGTTCTCTGGATTTGCTCTTGTCTGCTGATTTTGTGCTTTGCTGCCCAGCTGGATCTGACCTTTGGCTTCCTCGACTACGACTTCTGGCTCCTGAATCTGTTCCTACGGTGCCCGTCCGGGTTGATCCTTGGCCTGCTGACCTCCCTACAGGAAGTCTCCTGCATCAGTGGCAATCTGTGGCACTCGTGCTCCTCGTTGCCCTGCGTCCTCCTGTTCCAAACTCCAGGGTCGCAGGACACGAGTCGCAAGAGACACCTCCTCATCTTGCAGTCCTCAGGTACGTGAAAGAATGAAATTAGTTGACTCAATGATGACAACATTGAATGATTTTAAACAAACATTTGAACACAATTCTTACAGTGTATGGCCAGCTTAACTGTTGAGATAAGATATTAGCCATGTAGGGAGTGCATTGTTTTCAAAGAGTTGTCTGACTCAGTCTTGTATTACAAGTAGTAAGAGCAAAGCATGATTATTGTGTAGTACTGTAAAGCAGGAAGCACTGCCTGCATATGTAATGAGTAATATGGGTAACAACATTTACAAATATAATTACAAATTATACATTTATAAACGAGTTTTAAGACATTAGCATACATTAATATGATTAGCAATATTTTGCATTGTATATTAAAAAAGTATACATTCCCTTTAAAACAGGTTCCAGGTCAAAGCTGCCTATAAAGATGACATAACACTTGTCCAATCCGCGCCGCTTTGTCTCAATTTATATTGCTCTCCTCCAAGATTAATGGATTTGGTAGCATTTGCGGCTTGGCCTGCCCCACTTTTCTCATCCCCCCTCCCTCCTCTCCCCTTCGTTGATTAACCATAAACGCTTGCCTGAATGAGTGTTCTTTTCCATGCCTGCACCTTATTATAGTAATGCGTAAAGGCTTTTAGGTCTTTCAGATCACTACCAGATTCACCCTTCACTTAGCCATGATAGTTATTTTTCCATGCAGTGCAATCTCTAAATGAAGCCTGGTATCTTAATTGACAAGACCATACTGAGCAGCCCTTTGCATTAAAATGCTTACCTACAATAAACTGATTCTGGAGTCCCAGTTCTACAGCCATGCACCCACCCCTGGTACCATTGGTTCCAGAAGCCGGCATATAAAATGCTCTATCACATATGTAAAGTCCCGTTTACATTAGATTCAACACATAATAAATTACCATTTTCCCCCTCAAATTCCTTTAGTTATTCTTTCCTTTGTACCTTATACCCTTTATTTAACAATAATAAACCATACCATTTCAGGAAAAATTGGCAGCCCAAGAATGGAAACAATCCACGTATGCATGGTGCATACATACACTATTAAATGCTTGCCAAGCTGCCTTTCTTCTGTCCGTCATAGACAACACAGCATGGCACTGGCTTATCTCTCCTGGATTGATGGAGAATGGTAGCCTATGCTAAAAAATCTCTATCACAGATACCAGCAGCAATATTCCAAGGTGAAAAAAAGATTTGACTGCACATATATGGTATGATGACAAGGTCTTACTATAATGATTTTCTCAGAAATATATCATATTAATCCTGTGTATGTCCAGTTTTAGTCTGCTATACACAGGAATAGTTATGTTTTTGTATCCCATTAAAGCAAAAAGCCTTTCTGTTTTGTTTTCAAATGAGGACATAAGCCATCATGTTATATTTGAGATCAATTTTGTGGATTATTATTTGTTGTGATATCATCTTACATTTTACTGCTAGAACTGAATTGTGCCCTCAATGATCTATGATAACTCTGCAATAACTGGCACTCTTCAAAATGGGAACTAAGAATTTTGAGAACATTTTCTCGGTTTATTATTCAACATTTTCCATTATATCTCTTAAAGGAGAACTATGGGGTCAGTGTTTTTCCCCATATTTCTCTATAGGGTAAAGGGAGGACACAAACTTGCTTCCTCCCGTTACCCTAAGCTCAGTATACAGGGAGCTACAGCTCGCGGTATACTGAGTCGCCGCACCTGGAGCGGATCCCGACGTAGATGACGGGATCCGCCCAGCTGCGTGAGTGACAGCTGGCTCTGCCTATCTAGAGGCAGAGCCAGCTGTACCCGCCCCCTCCCCTGTCCGTTCCGCCAGTCAGCGCTGGCAGATCGGAGCGGGGAGAGGGGAATCCAGCCCCTCCCCCTGTCACGGCAGAGAGCCTTGACAGGATCGAGAGGTGAGGGAACCCGGTATGTGTTCCCTCACCTCACGATCTACTGAGCCGACCTGTGACAGTCTCATTGTCACAGGTTGGCTTAGAACTATGAGGTGAGTGGAAATCACTCATCTCATAGTTCTCCTTTAAGGCTTTTAAATATCTATTATTTCTAAAGAGAAAAGTTTGCTGCTAGGAGACAAACTTAAGACATACTTGCGCATAGTTGTTTAAAGAACAATACATTTAAAGGAAGGTGCAGTGGGAGTCATTTCTGTTCAGTGGAAATTCTGCTACTGTTTAACCAATAGTCTTTATTTCCTGGATCTGTGACCTCTGAGTCAGTGGGGATTTTTCTAAAGTGTGAAATAAGATGAAGTAAACCTTTGGTTATTGGTAGGTATGCACAGAAATTTCGGTACTATGGGCAAAATGCTGATAGTACCAAAACGGCTGGAAATGCAGCACATCCCTATCTTCTCTCCTCCCCACTGGGCACCGGCTATGTCCCCTTCGATTCTCGCTGCTTTCCCCCGCCTGTGTCGGCAGAGGCAGCTGGGATTGGAGGGGACACAGACCAGCACCCAGTGGGAGGAGAGAAGCTGTCTGGAAGCCAAACAGTGCGTTGCGTTGCGGAGAGGGCACAGCTCTCAGCTGTCACAGGAGGCCAAGCTCTCTTCCTGCACCACCCCACTCAGGGACAGGAGAGTCAGGATGAAGAGCGGAGTCCAAACATTAACAGGGTTATTAACTAAAGGGTGAAGAGTTTGGAGAAGGGAGGAGAAGTGAACAATCTAGGAGAACATAGCTGAACTGGAAAGTGAGCTGAATTGGAGAATTTTTCCATTTCAGCTATGTTCTCCTAGATTGTTCACTTCTCCTGCTCTTCACCCTTTTGCGAATAACCCTGTAAGTGATCAGTACTGATCAGTGATTGTTTGTAAATAACTGAGGACATAGCACGCTTTCTGTGTCCCCAGTTATGCATGAACAGGAAGTGCTCTACATCACTTCCTGTTCATTCATGATTGTGGACATAGTAATTGATACTATGTTCTCAGTTTATGAATGAATTGCAAAAAAAGAGATTTAGGACTCTGTGTCAACAATCTCTTTTTCTATTTTAAAAGGAAAATATCAGGGGTCAGTTTAAACCCATGATATTTCCCCAAAGCCCCTAACAGTAAAGTAAAATAAAATAAAAATAAAATAATGTTATTTTTTTTTTTTAAACATTTTGACATAAACATAGGATCACATCGCTTAACTTCTCACTTTAGTAAATCAAGCCATTTATGCAGTCTGTAAGTTTGTGAATATGTCCATAAAATTATTGCACAGATCTCTAATTAAGTTTTCATTGCATCTCTAGACCAAAAATGCCAACCTTGGACTTGGTCCTAGACATGGTTCACACAGATGTAGTTATTTTTGACCAGCAGAGGGAGTGTACATAAAAAAGGTAGTAGCAAGTTCATGATAAAATGAGAAAATATGTCTGAGAAGTTAAAGTGACACCAAACTCAGGAGCTAAACCTTAAAAATGCATCCAAGTACCTTATTCACGTACCTTAACTATTAACATTACTTTACCTTATTTGTAGATCCCTCAAATCATCTCTGAATTGAAGCTGACACTGTCCTTCCTTCTGGAGGGTGGCTATTTTTATTCCCCATGGTCCCTGTGTGTGTTGTAAAATAGCCAGCGCTCCAAGTTCACTCCCATGATTCCAGGATTTATTGAAATAAGCCCCTGCAGTGGGATTACACCACACTGTAAGAGTTAAAGGAGAACTATGGGGTTAAGGCTTTTCCCCATAGTTCTCCTTAGGGTAATGGGAGGACACAAACTAGTGTCCTCCCGTCACCCTAGGCTCAGTATACCACGAGTTGTAGCTCGCGGTATACTGAGACGCCGCAGCTGAAGTGGATCCCGACAATTATGCCTGTATCTGCCCAGCTGCGTGAGTGACAGCTGGCTCTGCCTATCTGGAGGCAGAGCCAGTTGTACCCGCCCCCTCCCCGTCCATTCCGCCAGACAGCGCTGGAGGATCGGAGCAGGGAGGGGGGAATCCAGCCCCTCCCCTGTCACGGCAGAGAGCCCTGACAGGATCGAGAGGTGAGCGAACGCCGGTATGTGTGTTCGCTCACCTCCGGATCTACTCAGCCGACCTGTGACAGTCTCATTGTCACAGGTCGGCTAGAACTATGAGGTGAGTGAAAAGCACTCACCTCATAGTTCTCTTTAAAGTGCTTGTTTCAGTCTAGGGATGAAAATAAAGAAAATATACTCACCTAATCTTCAGTCCTGCTTGGCTGCTAGACCGGTCACCGCAGCCTCCTTTCCCTGGGGCTCTAGTGGTCTAAAGACCCATAAAGTCATCACATCTAATGCCCATTAGACACGGGGGTAGCCCCATTGCAAGAGTTAATTTGAATAAATCCTGAATTTCTGTTATCAGGCCCAACAATCCCTTTCTCCTGGCTCACATTTGTTAATAACACCCTGGAAGTAGTATAAGGATACCTGCAGTATTGTTCACTGATATTTCTGATGTTACTGATCTTCAGATTCTTTTTACATCTACAAGTTCATAACAAGGCCTTGGGGCTTGACATGTAAGTAAAAGCACTGTTACCATGGAATTATTATACAGCATACAAGTTATATAAAGAAATACAAAATGTCTCTGGGATGCAGAGCAGTTATTTTCATGTGTGTATATGAAGATTATGGCATCCTGTATAAGTAGTGAGTTGACAAAGTGTAGCATGTAGAAACATTAGCACTAGGGGATGCACAGATACTAATATCTGATTGGGGGCCGATATAGGGCATTTTCATGAAAATGCCCCAATACATAGCGCTGATGCAGGCGCTTTACATTTTTAAATAGCTTCGGCTGCCCAAGGTCCTGTGCTTGCGGGGACCTCAGGGCAGCCTACCGGGCAGCCTGCCAGGGAACTCTGGCATCGCTGCTTCCTCCTCTGTGCCTGCTACCTGAATGACACAGCGCAAGAGACACAGAGGCACAGCCTGCAGGGGATCTCTCACAGTGCTGCTCCCCCTCTGTACCCGCCACTTGAATGACACAGCGCAAGAGACACAGTCACGCACTTGAGTAAGTGATTATTACATGTTCCATCTGGAAGTAGATGATGTGTTTGTTTGTACTTTGTATATAACTCATGCACACGTAAAATGTGAGGGCTTCTGTCAGAAGTGTGAATTGAATTCTATGCCACAGAGACCAAGAGCCCTTCTAACAGTCTCAGGTAGGAGAAGGCTGGCCAATTAGTCCCTATCGTGGGTCAAAGGGCACCTAAGTGAGAGCTAGTAAGTGTGGGAGAAGTGAGAACAGGAAGCAGTGTCCATTAAGGGCTGTATGCCAGCTGTGTAATACCTCAATGAGCTTCTTTACTGCTGCTTTCACATGGTCTATAATAGTTTAATGAAGGGCAAGCATTTTTTTATTCGGTACACTTAAGTCTCTAGAGCAGAATTCACTACTTGAGCCCCCACAGACATAGCACCGCACAGTGCCCCCAAAGACAAAGTGCCACATTTGTGTGCCCCCACAGACACAGCCCCGCACAGTGCCCCCAGAGACCCAGTGCCGCATTTATGTGCCCCCACAGACACAGCCCAGCACTGTGCCCCCACACACAGCCCCACACTATGTCATCACATACAGAGCCCTGTACTGTGGCCCCCACAGACCCAGCCCTGCACTATGCCCCCCACAGACACAGCCCCGCACTGTGACCCCTACAGACACAGCCCCATACTGTGACTCCCAAAGACACAGCGCCACACTGTGACCCCACAGGCAATACCATTTTTTTTTTTTTTTCATAATGCCTTTTGAGTTATGGTTCTTCACGATTATAAAGAAACTACTCGGTAATTGGAATTTTTTGTATAATATGAATGATAAAAACTGGTTGCTGTGGTCAACAGTTCCATTTTTTCCAGTTGTAATACATTTGTCTATCTGAAGCATTGCTTCTGAATACCGCCTCACATGTCTGCAACTACCCCGTGCCACTAAGCACATTTTGAATTTTTCCTTTGAGCACAGTGGATACTTCTAAAACCTTTGGAAAGTACGAGATAGTATTTCTTTGCCAAGGCTAAATTCAACATAATGGTAAACTTATACACAATCAGACTTTAAAGTGTGTATAAGTGTGGTAGATTGCAAGAACCTTCATAAGCAGCAAATTATATGAGTTTAGTATGAGTATTTATAATTGTAAAGCACTGTGGAATTTGACAGAGCATCATAAATGAATAAAATAAAAGTAATAATTATTAAACAGCAGGACATTGTTAAAGCCGCTTTTCAAATTAATTCTATTTGTAAATATGACATTTATACAATATTGTAGACACCCACACCAAGAAATACTTTCCTTTCTCTAGGGACTGCCTCTCACTGACTGAGTATAGGGTTTTCTGTCCATATTACTAAACCTCACCCCCATATGCATAGCGTTTCCAGGAAAAATGCTGATTTGCTGTTCATCTGACATAGACTGAAAAGGAGGCAGCCCCAAGAACTTTTGAGAATGACATCACAGAGCCTGGGTATCATTCAACCTAGAAGAACAGTACTGCATTGCTGGATTAGTTAGTCTTCGGGAGACAGCAGCACCAAATAGCAGGTGAGTATAGCAGCTGGAGCTGATTTTTTATTTTAACCCATTGCTAGAGGATCCAATTTGGGCGTTAATGCTTAAAATTGGGCTTTAGTGTACTCGCGAGACACCATAAAGACCCCCCTTTTCTAATTTATGTATTTGTTTACATGTATTTTTAAAAGCCATACTGCTATGTCAATTACAATGTTTATTAACAAATACATTGCAAAAGCTCCGTCTCTTTGCTCTGTATGATAGATAGCGTAAGGAGCAACCACATTAAATGTCAAAAACATGCTTTTTCTTCTATTGTTTTGTAGGTGAAAACTCACTATGTATAACATAATAACATACAAGAGATCACTGTTTGAATGCCACATGCTGTTTTTTCTCCAAAGACTCTTTGTAGTACCTGCATGCAGGCTCTGAAGGACATACAGGAACTGCGGTTTAAAGATAATATCAAGAACCCAAAATGGAATTCATTTTTTGCATTGCACAATGTTTTACAAAGGGTTAGCCTCTGAATATAAAAATGGAAGAAATGGAAAAAAAGTTGTACTGTTTTCCCCCCTAAAAAACCTTCTCTTGGTGAATGAAATGTTCATTATCAACTTTAAGATAGTACCAAATAGTCTGACTGTCACCCACACATTGCATCAGACATCAAAAACTGTGAGTAGAATTGGGCCATTTTTGGCCACCCTTAGCCACATCTGCATTATACAAAAATCTTGAAAGAAAGCAGAAAAATTATAGATTTGTTTTCCTAAAATGTTCAAATGTAAATCTAGATAAATTTATATATGATTGGGATTACCTGGATACATCACCATCTGGATCTGCAAATGTGAAAGAAGCAACTGGATTCTTCATCAAATCAGAGAAGAAGCTTGCCTTTGGAGTAACGTAAAATAATGGAACACCAGTACTGTTATTTAGAGGACCATCGCTGGTTAGAAGAACCTGCCCAAACGGAAGTCCTTGGATCTAATGAAAGAACAAGTCAAATAAACATAACAATTACTGTCCTAAAATATGTTGAATTTTTATTCAGGCACTAAAAAATACTTGCAGTGGTAGCACAGCTCCTGCTTCTTGTGGGGGGCCATAGGGCCCACCTAGTCACATCAACATCCCCTTAACTTTGCCATCACCTTCAGCAAGTATACAACTAACTCACTTCTTCTGGAGAAGGGTAGCATCCTGTGCAAGGCGGAAGGAGTTATAGGAATTGTTAAGGGGTGTAGGAGATAACAGGCTGGGTATGTTAGCTGCAAGCTAATCATAGAGGGTGGGGATGTTAAATCTGGAGCAGTGGTATGTAAGTAAATGTCAGGGGTCCTGGCTCACATATTGCACTAGGGCCAGCTGTGTCAAACTACGCTGTCGTCAACAAGTTATTTAGAATGATTGGATTCGTAAAAAGACTACATAGGCAGTGGTTGAATTGTAGTGGACGATATGCTGCTGAGTTTTATTTACAAATAAAGTAAAAACATATACATTTCATTACATGCACAAATAACGTTAGATTATATTAATATGATATTATATGCTAAGGCCAAAGGGCTTTGCTATCACTGAAGGCGGTGCAAACTTTTGTCTTGGGCAGTATAATTGAAATCTAGCCTTAAAGGAGAACTATGGGGTTATGGCTTTTCCCCATAGTTCTCCTTCGGGTAACAGGAGGACACAAACTAGCGTCCTCCCGTCACCCTAAGCTCAGTATACTGCGAGCTACAGCTCGTGGTATACTGAGACGCTGCAGCTGAAGCGGATCCCGACAATTATGTGTGAGTGACCCGCCCCCTCCCCCGTCCATTCCGCCAGTCAGCGCTGGAGGATCGGAGCGGGGAGGGGGGAATCCAGACACTCCCCTGTCACGGCAGAGAGCTGTGACAGGATCGAGAAGTGAGTGAACGCCGGTATGTGTTCGCTCACTTCCCGATCTACTGAGCCGACCTGTAACAGTCTCATTATCACAGGTCGGCTAAAACTATGAGGATGAGTTAAAAGCACTCACCACATAGTTCTCCTTTAATGACTGACAAATGACATCACCCAAACAAGTGCAGATAGCATTTAAACATCATAGAAAGGTCAGCTGGGCTAAGTATGTAATGTGACTTATGACTGGAGTTGTAATAAGACGTAGACTCTCGTGTAGATATTAAAAACAAACACTTTATCTGTTCGCTCTACAAATAAGTATATTTACTATAGTTGCATAATTAGCTCCGTTGAACACCATTCCTGCTATTCCTTTAGAAGTATAATGCTCATCATGGAAAGGGTGCAGGCACATTTCAGGGAATGCTGTATTACATGCAACATGCTGCCTATAGTTTCACCTCAAAGGCTGTGCAATATTTTCTATAAATACACATGTTGTATGCCAAAACTTCTTGTCCTCTTTATCTTCCGACTGCACACACATGTACTGTTTACTATGAATGGCGCAGGCATGTGGTCCAACATCAACTGTGTAGGGGAAATAAATTACCTTCATATTAAATTATTTAATAATTAACCTAACTTAAAGGACATTTAAATCCTTTGTTTTTTTGCATATATCTACAGATAGCAAAAAAAGGAAATAACTTACCTGTGTCTTCGCCGCGCGCTCCCGTTCGAAAATCTGAAGATTCTCGGGCTGTCGTGAAGGATCATGGGGCGGGCGCATACGCAGCACAGATCTTCAGCCGGGAGAGGAGGAGAGACACAGGGTAAGTCAATGCAGTCAGCACAGCAGCGTGCACCTGCACAGACTCCTTGGGACACACGAAACACAGCAATCGTTGCTGGATCAGAGACCGGCACCAGCACTGGAGGGACTGCCGGAAACTACTGGATGTGAAAATCTTGCTAGTCGGCCCTGCTGGCTCTCAAAATACCCAAACAATCTGATTGGATGCAGGCATTGTTCAGGTATTTTGAGAGCCAGCGAGGCCGACTAGCAAGATACTGAAGCTTGGCCCAGTGGGAGAATCTACCATCAACACAGTTTAGCGTAGATGGAGGAATCTGTTGCACTTTTTCTATCTGGCCATAGAAAATCTGCAGATAATCTAAAGGTGTATGGCCAGCTTTAGAAACAATCTGAAGGGAGCTGGTGAAGTGAAAAAACTATATTTGCAACAGCTGCCTTTGTGTTTACATTGTATTAATTAAAAGTGGTTGTAATGCAATCTATTTCTCTCGCAGCAGTTGAAAGTGTTTCAGGAGAGCAAGAAATAGATATCCAGCTGCACTGAGCAGTAAAATTTGGTTTAGGAAATACATTTATCTGGAACATGTGAGGCTCTGTGGGAAGGCCTGGTAAGCCACAGGAAAGCTATGTTCTACAGCAGAAGCCTTAGGCTTTGTTTACCCAAGTGGCAAGGGGGGCGGTAAAAGCAGGCAGTTAATTTGCACTTTTACCACCCCCTGGTCGTCTGCTGAAATTTCAGCACTGCAGCCGAACATTTGTGTACACGCTGCCGTGGTTGGGATGCTTTGATGCTTTGCAGTGCGACAAAAATTATACAGCATGCCACATTTGGCAGGTGGTGCCACTTGTCAAACTTGATCATTGCAATGAATGGGACAAGCCACAACTGTGTGGGTATGCGGTTGCAGCGTGGAATTGCAATAGAAAACCCCTATTAGGATTACAAAACAAAAAACAACTTGCATCTGGGAGACGGCAGCATTGCCTCCTGAATGGCGGAAACCTGCTATGCTACATTTTGAAATCACTTTTCAGGCTGCCCATGTGAACTCAGCCTTAAAGGAGAACTATGAGATGAGTGATTTCCACTCACCTCATAGTTCTAAGCCGACCTGTGACAATGAGACTGTTACAGGTCGGCTCAGTAGATCGGGAGGTGAGAGAACACATACCAGGTTCCCTCACCTCTCGATCCTGTCACGGCTCTCTGACGTGAAAGGGGGAAGGGCTGGATTCCCCTCTCCCCGCTCCGATCTGCCAGCGCTGACTGGCGGAACGGACAGGGGAGGGGGCGGGTACAGCTGGCTCTGCCTCTAGATAGGCAGAGCCAGCTGTCACTCACGCAGCTGGGCGGATCCCGTCGGCTACGTCGGGATCCGCTCCAGGTGCGGCGTCTGAGAATACACTTACTATCTCCTCAGTTATTTACAAACAGCGGAATGATCAGTACTGATCACTCCACTGTTTGCTCACCACAGGGAAGGATCATTAAATATGTGAAATATTTGCTGACCTCCGCTCAGCATGCTGAAGTTCATTCGGCATCCGCCCCGTTCCGCATCCTGACTTAGGTGTCATAGATGATCTCTCCTCCCAGCTGGGTGCTGGCTGCTTGCTGCAGTCCGTGTCAACCCCGATCCCCGCTGCCTCTGCCAATACAGGTTGGGGAGAGCAGCGAGGATCAGAGGGGACAAAGACTGCAGCCAGCTCCCAGTGAGGATGAGAGAGCAGGATTTGCAGGGGCACTGCAGGCGGTGGAAGGCTGATTTTGAATGAATAGCTGGCATCAGCGGGTTGTCAGCGAATGATGACAGCTATTCATTTACAGAGAACCTTCAGAGGAAGCATTCTACTTCAAGCTTATGGTTGCTGAAGTGACCATGAGCTTATAGCAGAAGGCTGAATGCCAGCCACGTTGTTCTCAGTGGAGCTGACTCTTAAAAAAAAAATCCTGTTGGCTTCTGGATTGGACAGACTGGCTCCTGAATTCGATATTAATTTGTCCACCCCTGTTGACTGTCATTTAAAAAAAAAGTCAAAACAAAAGGGTAACCTATGAAGAAGACTGTAATACTTACCTCTTCTACAGCCCACACTGCTCTGATGAAGAGAAATGGCCCCACAAAGTCTGTCTGTGGGAGAAAACAGCATTGCACCCTATTACAGGAAGTGGAGAATTAACTGGCAGGATCAACAGGTAATAGAATGATGTTAAGGGGGGGGGGGCGTTTCTGTGATCATGACAGACTGCATCATATATTCAATGTTTTATTATCCCCATAGGTTCACTTTAAGATCTAAAGCTGGATATTCTGTAGCACCTAATGTAAAGAAATGGGGAAAAGCACTCTAACTAATAAGCAGACCTTCCATATTTAATGCATGGTCCGCTGCAACTGTAAGTGGCGTCATTCACCTGGCCGTGCTGTGTGACAGAGCTGTGTAAGACTGGATGCGGTGCAGGACTGGATGGATAGAAAAACAAACCTTTTAGCATGTAAAACAGCCCCCTATAGTATTTCATCTGTGTATTTAGCATTTTGTTAATTTAGTTGTTTCAGTTCAATTTTAGGAGCTAATTTCACCTTTCATATGTTTCATGTTACCCCAATATTTAGGGTGTAACATGGAACTTGGTACCATTTCAAGGGTCCCTACACCCTCAAACCACCCCCGAATTGCGGGGTTCTTCCCTCCCCCAGGCTTCCATATTTTTCATTTGGCGGGGCTGTGTGGGCAGTCATTCATTCACAGGATCCGTGAATGAAAAAACTACAAGTCCCGTCTGCCACCACGGCAGAAGGACTCGTGGATCTCAATGAAGTACAAGTTCAGTGACATCACCACACTTGCCATCCTTTGATAACTTCCTCCAGCTCCATAACCAAAGGTCTGTACCTCAATACAGACTGGGGATGGAGGAAGAATCTGCAGAAGCCTCTGAATTGCACCTGTGATCCACTAATCGTGGTGGCAATGCTTTGCAGACTCCAATGCAAAAAAATCCTAAATGCAAATTTTTTTCTTTTTGCAATGTAGGTGCATTAATTAATTTTTAGAAAAAAAATAGGAAATCATTACCCAAGTGAAGAAAATGCACACAAACGAAACCAAAGACATGAGCATGTATGCAGCATCACTGAGATACTGTATATGCATCATCTTAGTTGGGCAATGGGATAAGTAGGACAGGAGATGCTCTAACAATGTGACTGGCAGTATACATTACTAGTTAAACACATGGACGGGAATTTATCATAACTGGAGCAGACAGAATCTGGAGCAGTTGCCCACGGCAACCAGTTTTCAAGGCTTAATTGCAAAAACCAAAGAGAGAAGCTGACTGGTTGCTATGGGCAACTGTTCCAGACTCGGCTTCGGTTTTGATAATTTCCCCCCATGGTTCAGCGGAAGCCACTCACCATCTCCTGAGAAGAAATGCTGGCTAGGACACCCCACTTGCATTGATGGGCTAGTGTTCTGGCACTGGTTGCCAGCTTGGTCTGAAAGGCAGCTGCAGGAGAAGGAGGGCTCTCAGTCTCCCTTTTGTAGGAGAACATCCTGGAGGGTGAGGAGATTTGCTCAATGATGTCAGGCCCTGGCCCGGACTTCAGCTCCTTGTCTTCTTTGTAAACGGATGCTGGGTAGCTCTGCTTCCACATGCTGATCGTATCTTCCAGCAGAGAAGGAAGAGCATCTTCGGTGGAGGAGCTGTCCAGTTCCTCCTCCACTTCATTGGTGACTGACCATGATACTGAATTAACAATCACATATGCTCCACAATAGGACAGCAAGCTGAACCCCAAGAGCCAGGAGAAACAGGGCGCACGGGCAATTGTTTTGTAGTTCAAGCTGCACGCAGACATTTTCAGGCTGTTCTATGATGCTGGAATCTACATTCGTCTTGCTTAGTTCAGGAGGTGTGCCTCTGCTATGCGGTGACTGCCACCTAGTGGACGAACACAAGACTGCTGTGCACAGCACTCCTACTACACACTCCCTGGGATCCTTAAAGTGCACTTCCACTTTTGCAGCTAAATTGGGATGACACTTATTGTATGCCTGTGATATGTTCCCATTCACATTGCATAGCTTCTATAAGTTACAAATTGATTCTTACATCTTTAAGTGCTGCATACTTGCTTTCAAATCCTATCTAGCTTCCCCCTATTTCATGAGTGATACTATACTCAGAAGTAAAATCTTAAAATACATTCAAGTACCCTACATATATAGACACTATATTGCCAAAAGTATTGGGACGCCTGCCTTTACACGCACATGAACTTTAATGGCGTACCAGTCTTAGTCCGTAGGGTTCAATATGGAGTTGGCCCACTCTTTGCCGCTATAACAGCTTCAACTCTTCTGGCACAATGTCCACAAGGTTTAGGAGTGTGTCTATGCAAATGTTTGACCATTCTTCCAGAAGCGCATTAGTAAAGTCAGGTACTGATGTTGGACGAGAAGGCCTGGCTCGCAGTCTCCGCTCTGATTCATCCCAAAGGTGTTCTATTGGGTTGAGGTCAGGACTCTGTGCAGGCCAGTCAAGTTCCTTCACCCCAAACACACTCATCCATGTCTTTATGGACCTTGCTTTATGCACTGGTGTGCAGTCATGTTTGAACAGGAAGGGGCCATCCCCAAACTGTTCCACAAAGTTGGGAGCATGAAATTGTCCAAAATGTCTTGGTATGCTGATGCCTTAAGAGTTCCCTTCACTAGAACCAAGGGGCCAAGCCCAACCCCTGAAAAACAACCCCGCACCATAATCCCCCCTCCACCAAACTTTACACTTGGCACAATGCAGTCAGGCAAGTACCTTCTCGTCCAACATCAGTACCTGACCTCACAAATGTGCTTCTGGAAGAATGGTCAAACACTCCCATAGACACACTCCTAAACCTTGTGGATGCCTTCCCAGAAGAGTTGAAGCTGTTATAGCTGCAAAGGGCGGGCCAACTCAATATTGAACCCTACGGACTAAGACTGGGATGCCATTAAAGTTCATGTGCGTGTAAAAGCATGCGTCCCAATACTTTCGGCAATATAGTGTATATGCACATAAATATCTAATCAACTAATTATTGTATAAATTATAAGAATACTATATAATGGCCTAGCTGAGAGAACATATAGGAAGGAGTGCACCATGTTAAATGAGCTCACAAGACAAACAGAGTGCTCTTCCTCCTTCCTCCAATGCAGTTCCAGAGAAAACCAGTGCACAACCAAGGCTTCCACCAGCTGTTCCTTATAAACAGTAAAAAAAAGTCTTTGCACACGGTCCTGGATCCAGTAAAAATCTTTTAACTGGATCATGATTCATGATGTAGTGTTCAACTTAGTGCAAATGTCCTGCGAGACCTGAACCTTTCAGTTTTCTTTAATTGCCCAATACCAGTGGATGACCATTACCTACCAGCCCCTGGAAGCAAAGGCTTGTATCAGATGAGTAGTATATTGCTTCCTCGGCTCTACAGAAATCATGCCATAAGATATAGTTCAGCCTTTCAATTCACAATTCCTAGAAGTGCAGGACAGGTTGGCAGGAGCCCAGATTACAAAAAGAAATAATGATTTGCACCTTGGTACTATGTATGAAATATCTTGGGGTATTAGTATTGAGGTGCAATTAATTCTAACCGATCTATGTTATGTCCTGTGAGAACTCTGATGTATAGCAGACATCCACTGTAACATGTTTCCAAGACCCCAGCGAACAGTTGTGCTTGTTTTTTGGGGTTTTTTTCTTTCCTTAAGACCCTCTCTTCCTTTTTGTGGCTGATTTCTGAATAGGAATGCTGTATGTGGAATGTGCCAGTGGACTGCCTCTTCGGGGAATGCTAATATTACTGTCATTTCCCAGCGACAGAACTAAAGAAAAATCCCCCCTTAAGAATAGCATCACATTACATGGGAAACAATCCATCTATGAACTATTAATGAGCTCTACTGTGAGAAATCATTATTTTGCTTTCACAGCAGTAACCTTTCAAACGGAAATTGAATTTCTGTTTTATTACTGTTTATTTTGCTCTAGTATTATGTTCATTTTTTCTGCTTATTTTTACTTGGCTATTACCAATTTGCCTATTTGTGCATGTTGATGGAGGGTTGTATATGTGCTGCTTCTCAACGTTTTACATTTGTAATTTTACATACCACTGAATTAAAAGGGTTGAAGCTTGTAGCAGCATTCAGAGTGAGGACAGATATGCATTTGTATACCCTTTTTATACCTTAAATTTTTAGTCTAAAGAGAACAAGAAACTACAATATAAGTCATGGTGACTGCTATCTCACTTTACAAATGATACAAAGTAATTACTTTTAAGAAATAGATTTAAGAAAAAGATCACGCTACCTACCATGAAAGATGTAACGCTTTTATTAAATACAATTCAAGCATAGCTCTTAAAGTGACATTAAACCCTCAGATTTTTTTAACATAAACCAATACTGTAATGTGTGCCTTACTGTAATCCATGGTTGTTTCCCTTCTCTTTGCTGCTCTTCCTTTTAAATCCGTGTCTCTTCTCATGCTGGGGGAGAACTTCCCTTTGCAGCTGAGTGCCTCTTCCTGTAGTGCTGGCTCAGGTTGTGAACCTACACACAGACACCATGTAGCCATTCCAGAGACAAGGCAGTCTGCTGCAAAACAGAAGTTCTGCCCAGCATGAGAAGAGATACGGAATTTAAAAGGAAGAGCAGCAAAGAGAAGGGAAACAACCATGGATTACAGTAAGGCACACATTACACTATTGTTTTATGTTAAAAAATCTGAGGGTTTAATGTCACTTTATGTTCAAAATCTGAATTACAAAAAAACACTAGCCCATGAGTTCAATAAAAAAAAGAAACCCCACAATGGGTCACAAGAAATACCAATCAAAAGGTAAGACTATCAAAGCATATATGAAAACCACCAATGCAGTCTCGTTGTTATATGTAAAATGATGTCATTGTAAGAAATTAATTTATTCTTATGTCTAAAATATGTATTGCAAAAAAAATACTAGCCCATAAAACACAAAAAGAAACCCCACAACGGGCCACAAGAAATGTCAATCAAAAGGTAAGACTACAAAAGAAAACTATCATTGCAGATAGTGTCTGTACAGTGGATATAAAACTATGTCATTGTAAAGAATTAATTCCTGATTTTTAAAGATGGTCTCCAGACAAAACTTTTACTAATCCTTGCAGTGGGGCTATCACACACTGCAAGGGTTAATTGCTTGTTTGTGTCTAGGGAGGAAAATAAAAAAGTTATACTCATCTGATCCTCGGAGTTGGTTTGCTCTGAAACTAGTCCCTGCAGCCTCTCTCCCCCTCCACTGCAGCAGTCGAAGGTCCCTGGGTACTATACACAGTATATTGGATGTGAGGATGTCGAGAGAAATACCATTGCTGGAGTGTAGGAAACAGGCTGGAGGGAGCGCTGTCACACCTGGCTGGATTGGAGGATTGGGTGAGTATGACTTTGTTATTTTCCTCCCTAGTACAAAATGAGCACTTAACCCTTGCAGTATGGAGATAGCCCCACTGCAAGGGACAAGAAAAGTTTTGCCCAGAGTTCTGCTTTGAGCTTTAAATCAAATTTAAAATGTGTAGCCTGCAGAATGACCAGCTGCTAAATTTGGATTTTATTTTTGATTTAATCAATTTACAGAAAAAGAAACAGAAACAAAATGTTAGCCATTCAGTCACCCTAAAACTAGTATGGTGTGATGTACAATACAATGGTGTTCAATAACTGAATCATACAATGCACAAGTCTCTGGTACCCTATTAGCCAGTAAAGAGTACCTGTTTATTTTGTTTCTAGTTTACAATAAAAAAGAAATATATATATATATATATATAAATAT